TTTGACTTATTTGAATTATTTGTATGTGTTACTAAGGTCCTTGACCAAGTAATATAATGTGACCCAATAATAATAATGTGCTTTCCATTGGCTGAGTCAGTGTGGGCATCACTGGAAAAACATTTCTGAACACTATAGTGTAAAACATTTGCAAGATGGCTTATTCATGAGAAGTGGTAAACTGTAAGCATTTATTTCTTTTGCGGGACACAAAAGTAGATATTTTGAAAACAACACAACTTTGGAGCCCTTTGACTGCCATTGTGTGGACCAAAAAACACCCACAATTGCATACTGTAGGTACTACATTTGGTTACAACTTACTTCACAAAAGTATGTTCTTTATAGTATGGTAGTATAAATTTAATTCTGTCAAATTACATCAGCCATGTTGTCATTGTCATGTGACCCGCGGCATCAGTTGTGTCGCTTCACTGCCATTCACAAATCCTCCCCCCATGGCTCAATGGGATCGTAAAGTCTCCATCAGATGTGCGCTTCAGAATCATGTAGGTTATTCTGATACTTTTCACCTATCCTGTTTTATGAATACTAATAATTCAGACACAATCCTCAATTCACATACTGTTTTTCGCTTATAGACATATGCACCAGAGAAACGTGGGCGCTGTCATCTTTAGAATATTGTCTTTGAACTGTATATTTCTATGACATCGCTGTTGAGGAGTAATTAGCTGGTGAAGTGAACTTACTTATTGTAGAGTTAACAAAAGTTATCATGAGCATTGTAAAGCAGATGTCTTAACAAATGTCGACCGGGAATTTTTTCACGAGCAGTTCATTCATACCTAAGATCGCTATGAAAATACAGTCTGGTAGTCAACAACAAGGGCAAAGCTGAAAAGGGGCGGGGCTACATAAGCCTTATGTAGCCCCGCCCCTTTTCAGCGCTGCACTTGTTGTTTTCTGTCTTACTGTTTGTATTCCACAGCATGAAGGTAAGATCTTACGGATTTATGAATGATATTTGTTATGACGTCCACTTCAAATATTACAATGCTCATGACAACTTTCGTTTATTCTAACAAAAATCCACTTCACCAGCTGAGTCAACATCGATGCCATAGAAATATACAAATTACCGCAAAGGTTAAAGACAAAATTCTAAAGATGTCTGCACCAAGATGTCCAGATGTTTCTCTGGCGCATAATGTATTATTGTACAGAAGCATTTGGCATATTCGAGAAGAAGGCACATTTCTCAAAATACATTCTTTTATGCTCCACAGAAGAAAAAAAGTCATCAGATTCAGTTTTTAGAAAGACATGAGGGTGAATGAATGACTATTTTTTTGAGCGAACTGTCCCTTTAAGTTTTGACTGATATAAAACACCAAAACAGCACTACATGTTCATCTAAAGAAACCACTGATGCCTTCAACCAGTCCTGTTCTAAAAAAGAAAGCTTTACAATGTTAAATTGCAGATGTTTCTGGAATGGACTCAGTCCCAGATGATTCTGCTGAATTTTGGGGAGCCTGGGAAGCCTGCTAATACTAGCAGAGAGCCAAGAATGACATTCCCTATGGAGCAATGTGTGATCCTAGTATGCGCACAGATGTTGAAGCTCTTAGTCCACCAATCTGACCTCTCACCTAGACAGCACACCAGAAATGAAGAAGACTGAGACAAGAAATGCTTTACATTATATGAAGGCACAGTGGTATCCAAATGATTTATAAGCCCAGCAACCTGCTGTTGCACTTGGACAGTGATGGCTCTGGTGGTGGAAGGAGGTGACTGCTAACAGGCCATTGGTTGACCTTGAAGTGTACTGGAGCCCCCTGATGAGAGGGACATTCCATTTGGAGCATTCCTTGCGTCTGTACTTTTGCAGCTGAGAAAAGTCACACTGATCCGTCACAAGTAAACCCATCAGCCAGGTATCTCGCAAAGCATTTATGGAATGCTAGCTCACACCTACTGAGGGAGGCATGCGAGGCAAAATATTTATACTGTAAACAGAAACCCTCTGAAGAGCACACAGTCCTCTTCTCAGTGGACTTATTTAACACGGTTAGGTGTCTCACAGCTTTTAATGGGTAAAAATATTCATTTTGGTCAGATTGTGAGCGAAGATCATGATATTAATGAATAATACCAGGTAGTTTATCTTGAAACTCGAATGTATTGAGTTGGCAGACTGGAATACCAAAATGGCTGCTTTTACACCATGAATCATTTGTCTGCATTCTTCAGAAAACTATTTAAAAAATGCATCAGATGAACAGAACTTGGGAGTCAAAATTCTTAAAGAGATTTATGTCACTGACATTACAGGGAAGGTAAAATTCTACCAGGCGTTTTTTATATAGTTTTGCACCTAATACAAATCCCCTCTGGTTGTTTACCCTATACAGCAATGATATTAAATGTGAAAAGTGAGACTTCCTCATAAGATTCCTGTCTATACGACAGGAATCTTTTTTTTAAGACTCAAGTAATATGTTGTCTCTTCTAGAGCAGTGTTCCTCAAATCTGGAGGTGATGGTGCATGGATAAGACACATGCCTTTGGTGTGAGAGATACGGGTTCGAATCCACTGTGAGACACCAATGTGTCCCTGAGCAAGACACTTAAAGGGATAGTTCACTTTAGAATTAATTTTTGATATGTTTTAGCTTACCTCAAGGGGATCCAAGATGTAGGTGTCTTTGTTTCCACGGCATTTTCAATTTTGACAGTTTTTGGTCAAACCGTTGTTGTCTGTCAGTCATACACTGGAGGTGAAGGGGGTCCTCAATCAGTTCACCTCAAAAAGCATGCACAAAGAAGTCTAAATTAAACATGATTTAATGACTCGTACATGTAAGTACACATTGATGGCCAAAGACACGAAACGAGCGGTTTGTGTGCGAAAACGAACAGTATTTATATCGTTTTTACCTCTTGTAATCACAGCCATGACAAAATGATCTGACGGCACGGGCGCTTCACTCTGTGCATGTGCTGGAAGTGATCGCTTGCGCGCCTACATCACTATTTGTTTATACAGAGATTTCTGAAGTTTTACCTTTCACTAAACATATTTAGATATACGGGAAACCGCAATGGAAGACGATTTCGGCACATCTAAATATGTTTAGTAAAAGGTAAAACTTCCGAAATCTCCGTGTAAATATTGAGTGGCGTCACACGCAAGCGATCACTTCCGGCGTAACATTGAACTGGTCCAGTTCGGTTCAGTTGGACATTGCACAACTGATTCAGATCACTTGGATTACACGAGGTAAAAACAATATAAATACTGTTCGTTTTCTCACAAAAACCACTCGTTTCGTGTCTTAGGCCATCAATGTGTACTTACATTTACGAGTCATTAAATCTTGTTTAATTTTGACTTCTCTGTGCATGCTTTTTGGTGGACCCCCTTAGCCTCCAGTGTATGACTGATAGACAACAACGGTTTGACTGAAAATACTGTGGAAACAAAGACACCTACATCTTGGATGCCCTTGAGGTAAGCTAAAACATATCAAAAATTAATTTCGAAGTGAACTATCCCTTTGACCCCTAGTTGCTCCAGAGGCATGCGACCTCTGACAGCAATTTTTAGTCGCTTTGGAAAAAAGCGTCAGCTAAATGAGTAAAAATGAGGTCTTGCAGAGTTTAGCTCCAACCAAGCTAATCAAAGTCTTCTGGATTAGGCGGTGTCCGAAATATCTCCTTATACCCTTAAACGGGGCACTATTTGAGGGGACAGTCATTTGTTGTGGTGACCGAAACCATAGTGGACTTTATCGAGTGCACTCATTCAATTCCATAATGCAACACATTAATGAGTGTACAACTGATGTACACTCAACTGCTAGAAAAAACCCATAATGCACTGTGACTATGAGAGTCGAGCTGAATGAATTCCCACGTCTAGCCAGATGGCACGCACGCAGGTGAATTATCCATCAATCCATTCATTATGCTAGTTTCCATGACAGAATTCAAGATAAATCTTTTCATCACTACTGGACCTACAAGTTTGTAAGGTTTCAAATTTTTATTATGATTATTAAAGCAAGCAAAAACTATGCAAAAGTGACAGCCCTTCCGGCGCACTTAGTGTCCGAATTCACTCACTTGTTTTCATTCGCTCTTTCACTGGACTATTAGTGGACTAATAGGCTAGGGAATAAGGAATGAAGGTATAGGGGTCAATCTCAAACACAGCTCTAGAAAGGTACAGGCAGGTGAGTTTGATCAGGATTAGACCTAAACTCTGAAGCATTTTAATTCCCCTTTTAACCTAACATGTCAGACATTTTCTTCTTCCCCATTTGGAATGGAATGCTTTAACATGTTTTACTCAGAGGGCAAATTCCTCTCAATGTTGAGCTATAAAGTTTTAAATCAATATGGCTTGCAAAGCATTCCAAACTGTTGAGACCCTTGTCTGGTTAGGTTTAATTTGCCTAAGGCAGTTGAACGCTCTACCCTGCCTCCAAATATGCCTATTTCCCTACTATATCATTAGGCAAAAAACTGTACATGAAAAGAGTAGAATGTCTGTATTCATAAAACATGCAAAAATAAGCAATATGACCTTTAACTTCCAGATTCGGAAGTGCCTAAAACAGACCACAGGAGAGGAGTTGTGAATGGCAGTGAAGCGACGCAGCTGTAAGCCACATGACAGCTGTATACAGCCAAATGTAATTTATACTACAAGCATTTATTCTATAGAGCAGTGCTTCTCAAACCTGTCGTGAGGACCCCCACCACTGCACGTTTTGTATGTCTCCCTTCTCATACACATCCAATTCAAGTCTTGAGCTGAACTTGAAATTCGAACCTAAACCCTCAATCACTATTCCCTACGTTAATCCATTGATACCGTTCACTTGAAGGAGTGAATGAAAACGAGTGCGCAATTCGGGGTTGAGTGTAAATTTATTGTACACTTACAGTCTATAATGTCCGCTATGGTTTAAGACTTCATTTCCCCCCCACCTTCTCAGCCAAGACAAAAACCAGCAGACACAGTCTTTGTAAAGATATATATTAAAGTTTTATTCAAATAACTGAAATGTTAATGACATACAAAACAATTCCCCATTCTTGAAGTTCACGGCAACATCCAAATATGGGTCAACCAGTTTGAACTGCGCATCTACATTTCACGTAGCTAATGCTCAGTTTTATTATATAACTTAATTGTAATGCAAATCTTTGGCATGATCACATTACTAAATACCAAAAAGTAAAATAATATACAAAATATATTAAATTCTCTCAATTCAAAACCGTCCTTTCTGTAAACAGTCCGAGTAGTGAACAAAACAAGCATGACTCCCAATACAAAGCATTGGCCAGCAAGTGCTTCGTATCGGAGACAATAGGAAAATAAGCATTTAATAAAAGTGAGAAAAGGTTAAATTAACACATTACCCACATAGATAAGACTGTTTGTTTTTGTTATTTTAACTGTTTATACCATTATCCCACCACAAACCAATGCAAGTGTAGACTTGGTTGAGAACAAATGTCTCAAATCAAGGCAAGTCACAGTCACTACATTAGAGAACCTTTGAGTCAACATCAAAACTAGAATTTAAATGCTTGCAGTAGATCCAGCTACTGCAGCACTACGAAAATAAACAGATCCAAAAAGAGGATGGTAGTCTAAATGGCAACCGTTATGAGCAAGGCCAAGGGTCAGTCTGGAGATAGCTTTTTTCCTCTGAGCAGGGGCATTCCACCACAGAGGAATGTGGGAAGATTAGCTCCAGCTTGTCTGCGAGGGAGTGGCAAGTATGGTGGTTGCAATTCTGGGTGCAAAATAATAATAATATGGCATCTGAAACATCAGCTCCTGTCCCTCCTAAGTAACACTTACCATAAGTGTCACTAAAAGAGTATGTACCCTTCCACTGTTCCCAAAAGGAGGCTTCCCATTCCGCCACTTAAATCAGGAAGTGAGAAGCGCCCACTGTCAGTCAGTTATAGTAAGAACGCCAACTGTAAGGATAATTTAGTCAAAGGGAGTGCTAGTTAAGGTATTACCCAACTATTCCTGTAAATTGTCTAATCCTAGGCCTCCCGGTTCAAACTCCATTTGGCCTCCAACAATCCAAACTATTCTTTTCTTGATATTTCAAGACGAAGCAGTTGCGATGGCACATCTACTATACATGGAGTATATAAAGTTAGGGATATATTCGTCTGTGCATTTTATCTAGGAATGTGGGATATAGTCTTACATGGGTTGGTATACTTAAGTGGTAAAAAAACAGCGGAAAAAAAGAACGAACACTGCCCTTGGTTGTTCCTTTGAGGAAAGTAAAAAACAAACAAACAAATGTTTCACAACAGTGGGATTACTTCCTATTACTCCATTCTGACAACACTCTTCAAACACAGTCAGCAGCAATAATCATAAATACAAAAGAACATCAACATATACGATGCGTTTATAAGTCTTGTGGTAGCTTTTTGGAGCTATGTAGTGTACTGTCCAAGTACCTCACATTCAGACCATACATCTCACAGTCCAGGTTGAGTAACCAGGCGAGATGAAAAACTTTCATTTAACGTGTGGAGGAACTGTCAAGAGAGCTCAGCTCTCCTTCACCAAGGATCAGTTTTAGGTTACTCCCACCATCTGTTCCTCTCACTTCCTGATACAAACACTGACCGGCTTCAATGGGGAGTTCCTTCTCAAAGCAAGCACACCTTCTCTTGACATGATTGGACCTCAGACGGAGACCCAAGGAGAACATTCAGTGTGTAAGAGCAGAAGGCAGCATCAAGCTGAACACTGTTCGTCTCAGAATTCAGATAAGGATCTCTACCATGTCATTTTCAACAGCGCTGGTCATCTGGGTTGTGTTGAGAGAAGTCGAATCTGTAATGAAATGTAAGATCTTCAGCTTTGTTGGCTAGTATCTGGAGAGCAAAAAAGCTTTGACTGTTTTGTTTGAGTTCATTCCCCAACTGTTGCTTTGACATGGTGCCCAGGTTATTCTTTAACAACTTTGGTTCAAAAGGGCAAGTATGCACCATCATTATAGAAGGTCTACCATTAAGTGTTTGTTTTTAGCACCTGATACTACACATTCGATTTGTCATGTCAACTAATAAATCTTATCAAAGTGTTCCAGAGACACCAAATAAAGAAGTGAGATGAGTGAGGATGGGTTTATGCACACGAGTTTACGCACCAGAAATGTAAGGCTGTAGAGCAGATATAGCTTCAACAGGTTCTGCTTTAGGGTTGGCCTCATCTGAAGGCCCTTCACACTGGGTGCTACGGTCTCGACACTGAGTTTTGGAGAGCTGAAGGGGCAATGGAGGCATTGACGCGGCTGCTGTCTGGTCATCTGAGAGGCTCTTCCCTGAAATCGCAGACGGAAAAGGAAGCAGTTTAATTACTGGTTCAAACATATGCATGCCACCACGCAAACATTTGCCATCCTGTAAACTCCCTTTACTATTCTGGAGAATCTATTCTAGAAAAGAGGGAGACTGAAATGCATTCCGTTTCATGAGATGTTACCTATTTAAGGAACACTGGCTAGTCGCCACACTCATTTTATTTCGGATGCCACATTCTTCCTTGGCGACGTTACATAGCCACCAAGTAAAGAAGCAGCCAGTTGTCCAACTGAAAGTATATGTCTTTTTCGGTTCAAATACTGTAGGTCACAGGCACATTGGCCTACGGAAGGAGTCCAATCCTGCTCTTGGAGGCCCAACATCCTGAAAAGTTTAGCTACAACCCAGCTAATCAAGGTCTTTAGATTACTAGAAAGGGCAGACTGTCAGGTTGAAGGTAAACTCTGCAGGAAGATGGCCATCCAGCAACAAGATTTGACACCCCTGACTTAAGGCTACTATGCTCACCTTTGGTTCGGGTGGTACTAGGTGTGGCAACCGTGTTGATGGAGGGCACAGATCGAGCAGGTCGTAGGCCTTGCGGTTCAAGTCGGCCTTGCTCTCTTCGTGACCGCTGCTGCATGACCTTTATAATAGCATCCTTCTCCAAAAGTTGAGCATAAAGTGCTCGAATCCTGATAAAACAAATTACTTTAAGCAAATAGACACTAAAGGAAACAAAATATTTAATTTTGCTAACAAATATAGACTGACTTTCCAGTTGCAGATAGGAGCATAATAGTGGACGTACCTGTTTTCCATCTCCTGATGCCTGTGGTTGGGGGACGGCAGGTCCTCATTGAAGCTGCTATTGGGTGAATGACGGGGTGAATGGTTGATGATTGTTGTATCCCTGGAAAGAGCATTACAGTTATACATGAGTAAAAAATGATGTCAAGTTATTTCTATTTCCAATCTTTGACACAAAGGTTGTCTATTGTTTTGACTCACCTCTGAGCTGCAGCAGTTGCAGCGGCATCCATGGCGAACTGACGCATCGTGCTCTCCTCAAGATACTTTTGCTCCCAGCGAGTGATGTCAGCTTCCAGGGCCAGAACCTGCTCCTCCCTCTCCCTCAGTTGCTGGTGTAGTGAGGACGCGTTAAGGTCAGAGTAGGACCCAGGGCTCGTTTGCTGGGCATGAGACTGCCACTGAAAGAGAAAACGTTTTACTTTTCGATCCCAAGACGTTTATTCTCACACACCAACTGGGTGAACAAAATATTGTCTTTTTTTACCTGCTGCGCTCTCAGGCTCTTCAGTTCCTGCTCCAGCCTTGTCCTCAGTCGTAACTCCAGCGCCTCCCTCTTCTCGCATGCTGCCTGCAATTGCGCTAGGGCACTCTGCATCCTCTCCACCTTTTCCACGTATGCTCTTTTCCTGCGTAACTCTTCTTCCAGCTGCCTATTTCGTGTCTGAGCGGAGATCAGCGCTTGTTCCAAGGCTTCTCGCCGCCTCTTCCATTCTTCCCCTGAGCCCCGCAGATGCTGCAGCTCTTTTTCCAGACGTTCCCGCTCTCGAAGGTGATCCTCATCTATGGACAGAAAAAACAGACATTGTGAGAACCATGTACCACTACTACGGTAAGGGTACAAGTAGTGCTATTCAGTCATCATGCTTAGTTGTTACACAGGCCACAAAATGAATGACCATGCTGTAAGACTGGGGTGTGTCGAGAACATTCCCTGGGCTGTAGTCTCATTCTAACCAATTCTCAGGGGATAAGCTTCCCACAAGAGTCTGGAACAAAAGAGGCAGGCTTGATTTACACATGTCTGTCTGGGTTTGCAGGGGAGTGGCCGAGTTTCCCTGTGTCCTTTGACCTACGCTGCAGACTTGCTTTAGAATTCCCAGATTACAAAAGCGATTCACTATATTCCCATTTGGGAAGCTGATTCCTCAAACCCTCTAAGATGACTTTGCATACTGAAAAGGGACATACTAAAGCCCAGCTCAGTTGTTTTTGGGTCACTCTGAATGCCTTGTGAGATAAAAAAAAAAATTAGACAGCAATTAGTCTTCTATTCAGCTTCTACGCTGATTATACAACCCAAAGCAAATGCCTTTTAATGGAATGCAGATTTTCTCTTATCCACTTACGCACACAGGCATGTCTTTGTACTAACTGGATCTCTGGAATGCCTCTGAGGCAGGCAGTAAACAAGTAAAGCAAATGTTCCACTAGGTCATAAAGCATAATAACCTGCACATTTTTAAGCCTTCAGAGATGCCGAATCGTGGCTTTGACATGCTAACATGGAGCTATGTGTTGGCTCAGAAGGAAACATTCATAATTTGTGTTTTGCATAAACATTTTCCCCTTTGGGGTAAACCAATTTTATTATGCAAATATGAAGGATCACTTTATACGTCTACTCTTGGGATCATACAAATCAAATGCTGAACAACAATCCCTATTAGGATTAGCAAAACAAATCCAGTTTACCCTAACACAGCTCTGAATTCTTTAGTTCTAATATGCCCAAAAATGGAGAGCCAGTGCACAGGGCATCAGAAGAGGGTGCTTAGGGCCTCAGAGGCTGAAATAATGGTGGGGGCTGTTGGGAAACATTCCAGGAGGATGGAATATCCCAAAATACCTGAAAATATTTTAGGAATCCAGGTCACATTTACTTAGTGTTAATAATGGTTGGGTCAAATTCCAAAAACAACATTCTGAAACAAAGACTATAGCATGTACCAAAACAACTTAATATGTTTAGAAACAAGTCTTGCTATGCTTTATGGCCCATTTCAGTGTAGCCAGCAATATACCAAACCAAATGTCAGAAATCACATCAATGATAAACATGCAGTGCATTGTTAAGAGGAATGCATTATTATGCCTACAGCATAAACAGAAAAACTCAATGGGAACAGCTGGGGCTGCTTTCATGCTTGACTACACATTTGGGAGAAGGATAATTTATAGAGGAGCAAAGGGGAATTCTTACTTTGCTCAACCAGTTTGGTGAAGGCATGCCGACTCTTGTCTTCAACTTCCATGGCTGCTCTCTGTTTATTAGACGTTTCCAGGCGGTCTAATGTGGAAGTCAACAATTAGTATCTATCACCTCATACCTAAACATGTAGCTCATATTTAAGACAATTAGCTCAGCTATGTGAAATATATTACCCCTGAGATCTCTGTTGAAGTCATGAAGTCGCTTGATTTCACTCTCAAGCTTGTTTCTCATGGTTTTCTCAAGGGCTTCTCTCTTAGCAGATCCCTTCATAAGAGTCTCATATGCCTCCGATATCCTCTGAATCTCCTGTTCGAGCTGAAAGAGAGGAGAAAGACATTTTAATATCTGTTATTTATTAACAGACAGAAATTCCTAAATTCCTAGTCCCCATTTACTCTCACTGCAAGGAAGAGCAGATTGGACATTATGCCAAGAGCCTTCTTTTCTGTTCAGAGGGACGGATGGATGGATGTAATGCTTGTTTAGAACAACATCACGCTAAGTATATGACAATTTTCATTTTTGGGTGAATTTAACCTTTCTTTCTTACACCAAAATATCAAAGCACAAGGATGACAGATAGACAAAAAAAAGAAGAGAAAGGGAAAAAGGGGAAGAATGTGCTTGGCTGAGCTCTTCATGGTGCTTGCCCACAAGTGAATCACTCTCACAGAGCTCTCCAGGGACTGGGAATTGAATCAACATTCCTGAAAGAACACTTATGAGTCCCAGGTGTCTGCACATTCATCTCCATACAGGGCGGGATGCCAAAGGTAAATGCAGGGAACAAAGGAAATGTGTGTTTTGAATGCATACCATTCACTGAGACGGGAACAATACTTAACACTATATGCACCTGCATGGCATTTGTGACCCAGAAAATAGCTTGTGAAGGAGTACATTTAAAGAAAAAAATGAATCACACAACATCACACAACTGATTTCTATAAATTGTAGGTTTTATACTTTAAAACTACTTGGTAAATTTACAAGCAGGACCCTGGGTGCCATGTGGGGATTTGTTAAAGAGTGAAAGTGAAAGGGGCCATTCAGTCATGGAAACCACAGCTGTGGGGTCTGGTTGTTGCTCTTAGCAGCCCAGTCTGTCAGCTGTGGGCTACGCAAAGCCCCTTCTTCATTCTCGGACACTAAGATGAGCCAAGACATCTGCTCCAATTGGCATCCCATTGGAATCCCAACAAAGAGGGCTACAGAACATCCCAGAGAGGCCTCCCCCTTTAGAGTTCTCTGATTTACAATTTATCGCTCTTTTGTCGGCGATAAAGTTTGATCTTTATGACCCACTGTTCTAGGACGGCATACTTTTAAGATAGCGCTTGGAATCACAACAAATCTAAGCATGAATCTGGACTGAAATTCAATCTATGTTATGACACTGCACAAAATACACAATGCCCAATAATCCTTTGCAAAACAAACATAAGCTTGTTTTCTCCCTCCTTGTTTTGCCTTGACACTCTGGTATTTCAGTGATGACATTATCACATTACAGAAAAATGTTTGGCATTGCAGGCATGGGTAAATTCAGTGTTTCACATGCTAATTAAGTTACTGGGAATTTTCACTCGGTCACTAGGAATGAGTCCTTTTCAAATTACGTCGAAATTCTAGTGATCCTCTCCCTTTCCCACATTCCTACACTGCAAGAGGGCTAATCTCTTTAGAATGCAGCAGCTAGAAGATACCAGGGCACAATGATTTCTTGTTCCACACTCTTTGTAGGGTCATTTCAGAGACTGAAATCAAAGGCCACAGCTGTCTCCTTTGCATCTATGGCAAACTGTGGCACAATACCAAGAATATCACAGTTCTAGGAGGTTTCTAGAAGCCACAAGCAACAAAGAGTCCTCTCTTACCTTCTGCAGCCTTGTCGCCTTCTCGGTGTAGCTCTCAACTTCTCCCTTCAGTCTCTCGTTCTCTTTAATAAGCTGCTCTATTTGGCAGTTTTTCACCGGGATGCTGTATCCTCCAACAATGACATCCTGACCAGCAGGGGTCAACATGGGCAGGGCGCTGTGGTGAGGCGCTTGCGATTGGGTTGGAAATAACCTGTTAGAAATAAATATAAGCCATTAGTGTGCACCCACAATGTACCTATATGTAATATAAAGTGATAAAAACTAGCTGATTATACCTGTGATGCTGTGAGTGGAAAGCAGGAGGGGGCTCTTTATAATAGTGCCCATGTTCCTGTGAATGACTAAGCATATATCCAGGGGATCGGACCATAAAGGGGTACTCCGGGGGTGGACCGCGTTGGTCTGGCTCATGAATCAACCTCTCATTCACGACAGGACCAGAGTGACTATTGGAGAGCTGAGGGAAGCTATGCGATGAGCTCATGGGAATATTGTCATGGGCATAGTTCCTCTCCAACGAGAGCTGCAAGAGGCGTTCGCTGAGCGAGCGAGCATGCTCCCGCTTCACGTCCCACATGCCCTCGTCCTGCTCGGCTCCTCCAACCACTCCAGGGGTCTCCAGGCTGCAGTGCTGAAGCCCTACCTGATCTCTCTGGTAGGCCAGGTACTGTGAGTGTGCTTTTGCTTCCTCATAAGTTGGCAGCTCCTCTGTGTGGAGCTGATAGAGGTGGCAGACTGGACTCTCTAAATGCTGGTAGTCCCCCTGGTGCTCTTGGCCCTGGGGCTCCTGTCGGGTGGACAACTGGGGAGAAAGTGATTCCTCTTGCGTTAGGCTTTCCAGAGATGAACGAGGGCTTCCTGCACCTCCTCCACTGCTGCCTCCACGCAGTGCCTGCTGCTGGATGGCCAACAGAGTAGGGTCAGTAGGGTTCCCATAACGGAGCTGCTCTTGAATCAGTCGGTGCAGCACAGTGCCTGACGAATCCTCTGCTGTTCTCATTTCAGTCTATGTTTTGCAGACAACAATAAACGATATTGTGTTATGAGACTTTTCTGAACTGTGAACCTGAAAAAAAAAAAAGAATTAAAATTACTCATTTATATTGCAACACTCTACAACAGCAAACACTGAGTGGTGCCTCACTCCTCATGCTTCTAGGCTGACTGGCTTTACCCATAGCAACACCACATTTACCCAAAATACCATCCTACAACACCAACCATGCACTGGGTTTCTTCTTAGGTTTATAATCTTGATAAGAATTAGAAGTGAACTAAAATTGAGTAGGATCAAATAACTTTCCAAAGTTGCGAAAATGATTTCCTGCTACAAACACAAATTCCTATCCAGTGGGTCACCTTTGTTTTACAACCACTACTGTAGCAATACATTTAAACATGCCAAAGTGAGCATGGAAACAAAAGGATATTATGAATGTTAGAGCTAGTTCCTCATTCTTTTCTAGTTAAGTCACAATGCAACATAGTCTATTCCACCAAAATATTCAAATTCAAGTAAAAACAGTTGGATTAACAAATACAACATACAAAGAAAACCCTATCGTTCACGCACAGTATCAAAAGCAGCAAGAAACTAAGCAAGATGTGACATAAAACTCAGTTTAAATTAACAACAACAAGCTACTTTAAAACTCCTTGAAAACTCACCAAATCACAGTAGCATTACGAATAAAAAACACGGACGATATATCTGTTTGACGATATAATCCTTAAGGAAATTCTTTGAGTACGGCTTTTATTTCCATGCGTATATTTGACTTGCGTGCGCGTCTGGAGAGCTCCTCCAGCAGACTGAGATCAGGAGGGGAGGGGCTCTGCTAATAAATGACCGAGCTCCGATTGTTCACGGCCTTTGGAATGCGCGGAATGCGAAGGCTGCAGTCCCTCGGGGATCAAAAGCAGTTCCGCTTGTCGCTCGCCCCGCCCCCTCTCGGGTATCGCAGGGAGAACCGTTCGACCCAGGCGGAGCGCGCTGCTGAAGGGGGGCGGGCAGTGCGCGCGACCAGCGGAACTGCATTCACTCTCAGCCCCGTGCGCATTTGTCCTGCTTCTGGAAGGCGCTTTTGTTTTTAACGGTGAGAGGAATGTAGTAAAAGTAGCAGAGATCTGTACCCTTTGTTGTTTTGCTTTACTACACGTTCTTGTGAAGTTTCAGCGCGCTCAATTAAGCCTACTCATAAATGCATGACTTGCATGTAAATTCATGTAGCCTACACAAAAAACAAACAAGAAAAAAAAAAAAAAAAACATGGGGAATCGGCACTCACTTCCTATATTGTTATATTTGCCTGATTTGAAGTCTCATTCACAATATAGTTCATCAAAGGGATAGCCATATTATTTACTCACCCTTATGTTAATCCAACCTGTATGACTTTCTTCTGTGGAACACAAAAGATGTTAGGCAGAATTGTAGGGACTGATAGCATCAGTCACAATTCACCTATATATATATATATATATATATATATATATATATATATATATATATATATATATATATATATAGGGTAAACAGCACTGTCCAGAAACAGTTTGTAACTGTTTTCTTTATTACATGTAAAGAAAACATCTTAAAGATGTTTGTTTAACTCGATTCAGTTTTAAATGTTCTGTTGGTTGTATTTTATCCCAATGTAGTGTTAAAAAACTGAAACAGTGCTTCTGGACCAGTGTTGTTTACATCTTGTGAAATGGTCTATATATATATATATATATATATATATTGGGCTGTGCAAAGATTAATTGCGATTAATCGCATCCAAAATAAAAGTTTGTGTTTGTGTTACATAATATATTTGTGTGTGCTGTGTATAATGTTGTATATATAAATACTGTGTGTATTTATATATACAAAATAATTATACACAGCACACACAATATGTAAACACAAACTTTTATTTTGGATGCGATTAATCACAATTAATCTTTGCACAGGTTAATTATATGCATGTATATATTTAAGAAAATCTGTTATTAATATATAAATATGTATATTATACAGTATATATAGATTATGTATATATATATATATATATATATATATATATATATATACAGTATTTACGTGCAAATAAATTCTTAAATACATGCATGCATATGTATTTTATGCATAGAAAATAATTGTAGACTGCACACACACATATAAACACAAACTTTTATTTTGGATGCAATATATATATATATATATATATATATATATATATATATGCAATTTAAGTGAATTGTGACCGAGGATTTCATTCTCCTATTGTGCTCCATGGAAGAAAGAAAGTCATACATGAGCGTGTTTTTTTTTTTTTTTTTTTTTTTTTTTTTTGAGGTGGGGGCTGTGCTAAAGCAGGAGAAAGAATCAAAAAGACAAATGCACAAGTGAAATATAGACCATGAGCCATTAGAGAATCGATTTGAAGGTCTTTTGTTTGCTCTGGGCTGGTGAATATTTAAGCTGTGGCCCGTGTCAGTTAATTGCTGAGTGTGTCTGTGTGGATGATGGGGAGGGGGTGTCTGTATGTGTGTTTGAGGCATGCTGCCAACCAGCTGTCCGTGGAGAGCAATCCTCTTCCACCCCTTAATCATGCCTCAGAAAGAGAGACGTATTGTTCTCTCTCAAGCAGACATTACAGGGGAGAGGTCTACCATCTGCTCGTATACCCTACACCTCCCTTACACACTTTACACAAACACTCTATTCACAAACACACACGCCTGACCCCATCACACAACGCAAACCCTCTTTACACACAACTGACACATTTATTAATCATAGCTCCTATTTTGGTGTACAAATTTACAGGCAATGAAAAAGCGGGATAAAGAATAAAGCCGTAATGCTGTAGATGACAGATCTGCTGATAAAGAAAGATATGTACGGTTTGTGTGCAATTGGCAACTTTTGAAGAATTAATTCAAAACTCTGAATCTATGACATAGAGTTGTGCATTTACTATATTGAAATGTCACACATTGCAAATTTCAAGTTTCCCTAATGTATGAATATTGTTTTTGGAGATATTTAGTTTGAATAGAGCTCACATTCGAGTGTTTTTTTCTTTTTCTTTCTTTTACTCTCTATTATTACAAAATGGTTTCTGTACTGATTTAAAAAAAATAAAACTGTGCCCAATTTACTCTCATTTCTCATTATTCACTAAACAATAACCGTTTATTTTTTCTTTGATTTTATTTAAATAATGTTTAAAATGTATATTTATAGAATTTGCACTAATCAATGTTTGCTAAAAAGCATGAACATATAAATATTAAATAATGATTCAGAAAGCTATTTTGCATAACACATTTGTTTTATTAGTAATATTTCATCTCAGTCTTCTTTTTAATTTTTGACGGACAAAATTAATTTAAATAGTTTGTTTATTAGTTTATGTTAAAACGAAATGAATGACATTTTTGAAAACACATAATCTTAAATATCATTTTTGCGACTATGTATTGAATACACCACCTGCTCTGGAGAAGACGCATTGGAAAGTAAGAAAGTCCCTGCCTTTTGTGAGTGGCAGCTGTGTGTAGAAATCAAGCCTGCACTTGTTGAGCAGACATTTGGACTCCAATCATATCATGTTCCTTTTTTGTCAGTATTCAAACACATACAAATGTTTTATTTAGATAAGTACAACTATAGTTAATGGCAGTTACAAAAACACTGTAGGTAATCTTTATTTGCTTCACCCATTCAGCTTATCAGATATCAATCTCCAATGAATTCTTTTGCAAGCTCCTGTATAGGTGCAGCTATAAAATGAGAATGCTTTGCTATATGAAGAGTTCAGATGCAAAAGCCTCTAAATGCCATTTGAAATTCTCTTCTAGAATAATCATTTTTATCAAGCTTGTATATTTAAATTCAGTAATTTCACTTAAATGGCAATTAATTGGTAATTATCATTGCCATTTAAGTGAAATTACTGAACTTAAACAAGCTTGATAAAAATGATCATTTTAGAAGAAAATTTCAAATGGCACTTAGAGGCTTTAGCATCTGAACTCTTCATTTATAATAAGAAAACAAATAACTATTGCATTTTTACAGTGGGCTTTTAATGTAAGCTATATCACAGTTTCTTCTCTAATTATGCAATTAGGTCTTAAAAATAGCATTGCTTGTTCCATCATAAAGGTGAATGTGTAATATCTAGAGAGGCATTTTTTTCAGGAGAACATAACGTTATAAGGAGAGGGGGGAAGACTGTCTCTGCATTGATTCTCTTTGTCTTCCAAGAGAGGGAGGAAATGGCCGCATTCCACACATTAGCATGTGCATTGGGGCCAGTGTGGCGGCCAGTATGGGTGGGAAAAGAGGGTTGAGGAGGGGTTTTCAACTTAATTAGCCTTTTCTTTAAAAACAACATGTCTACACGCATGAGCTACTGCATGTACACAAGACAAAGTTAGCTCTGTGTGTGCCGCTCAAAAATGTGTGTGCTTTTAGACTTTGAACAAATAGTATGAGGATCATGGGTTTTTCATTTTTAAAATATTAAACAGATTGACCTAAAATTCAAAAACAGAAAACTTTTTTTTTAATTGATTAGACATTTGCAGACAATGACAAACACATGTCTATAAATGTATTTACAGACTGACCCAACTGCACTTGCCTAACATGCGATGCAGGGGGTTCACAGGTGAGCTCATTTGTTTGAACTAATAGTTTAACAGTGTTATAAACAAACTTTATAACCTTTTTTTGTCTTATGTACTTTACCCCACAACCCACAAGTAAGTATAAGAAGATTGTTTAGTTTTGTTCTCATAACGGATAAAACAAACTCACAAAGAAGTTTCTTCTCAAACTGAAGCAGTCAAAGAAAAACAACAACAGATCTCTTAAAGATATGCAAAATGTAGCAGTTTCTCTGGATTTACTATTATATGTATAAGTACAATTAACATTTGTGTTTTTTTCTGTAAACTACTGGCAACATTTATTTCAAACTTCAAATAAAAATGTTGTCATTTAGATCATTTATTTGAAGGAAAAAAATCCATGTTTTCAGATCTCGAATAATGCAAACAAGTTTATATTAATTTTCAAACAACACAATACTAATGTTTTAATTTCAATAAAGTTAAGGAATCAATATTTTATAACCAATATGGAATAACTCTGATTTCCAAAAAAAGTTCCTTTCAGGCAAGTCATTTCACTCGGCGGCCATTTGGCAGCTATTTCAGTCATGCAAGTGCAGCTCCTATCTCTTTGAATAGGGAAACATCAAGTTCTCCAAAGCTGTTCACCAAACTTACGATTAAATCCCATATTTTAAATCATCAGTGAAATCTGACAACCACTATCTCATAAATGTTGCTTCTTATGCTCAAATACCATTTAAAAACCTTAAAAAAAAATTCAGGCTAGACCAGCCAAGGCGCATGTGCAGTCCTAAGCGTACGTCTCCAAAACTGGTGACACAAACCCTGCGTCCCAATTCGCATACTATCCGTCCTAAATAGTATTCGAAAATAGAATTAGTACGTCCCAAATCGTAGTATGTTGAAATGAGTGTTTCAAAGATACCTGGATGGTCTACTTTTTACGGTCAGAATCCGAAGTGTAGATCGATGCACACTCTAACGGCTGATATTGCCCACAAACCATTGCGCGTTGGACGAGGATTCGGTTAGAACTACAAACACGAGTAAAAAGTGTTAAAAAACTACAGACACGTAGTTGATACGGAGGACGCGCGAGTCCCCGCGGTTGTGTAGAGAGGTTTAGATAAAGAGCTTTGAGTGATTCATTATCAGTATCTAACCTGACGAAAATGAATTTATTCAATGTTGTGAACTTTTGTAAAGACACGTTTAGCCGTTACGTTTTAAATGCATCATTATATTCAAATTGCAA